GTAGCTGTCAGGGAGGGATCAGAGGACAAAGGAATGCCACAGAAATATGAGGATCACCATGGAAAGCGAAATGCCTGTCACGTAGACCAAAAGGGAAAAAAAAAACAGTGTATCGCAAAGTCAATAGGAAGGTAAATAACAGAAACTGTGTGTACCAGTCTTTTGATCAGAAGAGAAATGTTGATATGGAAAAATACTCAATGCGATAGGTGCAAATAGCAGATCTGCGAGGGAACACAAGTCATATCAAGGTCACTGCTTCTGCTTCTTTGTAGCAGCAATCTGGGATATGAATCAACCACACTATTTGGAACTGCAATATCAACAAAAAAGAAAATAAGACAGGAACGTGATTGTTTTCAACTGGACATAATGTCCGAGTCTTAGGGTGACTGCTTGCAGAAATGGGAAAAGTATTATAGGGAGCAGTTCACATTTATCATGCAGAGGTTTATCACAAAAACCTAAAGTACTACTCATACCAAGATAGAAGACAAAATCCTTTCCTCCTGCAGAGCCCAATGAAATTCCTATGAAATCACCACTACCATTTTGCTTGGTAGCTTGTAGTAAACAAGACACACTGATCGACTTGTGGTGCCTAATCAATAGCAAGTTAGTAATCACACAGTGTGTAATGAGAGTGTTAATTGTCTAGACTTTTATTAGAATCAATAATTTTCATCTAGTCGTCTTTAAACAGACACTCAAGGTCTTACGTCTCAGGAACAATGGCTTTGTTTTTTTGCATTTAAAAGACAGGGTAGGACACAAACATAGTGAAAATACGCAATGGAATAACAGAAACACAACAGAACAGTCCTGTACGTAACACAGGGTTATGGGAAAGATGAAAAAAACAGCATCATTGCAGGTTTTGAAAGCATTCAATCTGTTTTTTTCCTGAATTTCAAACTCTGGAGTACTATGATTCGGAAAAAAAAGCTGTTTGACTCATCAACTGAAAAAAGACATCGTGCTAAATCCTGTGTGAAAAACATTTGAGGTGAGGCTGTAGATCTTTTATTCTGTGTCATGAAAAAGAATGAAGTGGGAGTCAACTCACTTAGCTCCATTAATCTTAATAACAGAGTCACCTTGTTAATATTTAACTGCCACTTAGCAGCCACTTGATTATTCAGAATACAAAGTCGGCCATACCATGACAATCCCAAGATAATTAGCTCACAAGTAAGTGTATGTGTTCTTTTACAATATGGCTAACATTTTTAGTACAATCTTACTGCTTTAGTAGAAGTCTTAATAGACTGAGAAGGAATTATTCTATTATAAAATCTCACAAATAATCCATAGACACCCTTTTTCATATTTGCAAGAATATTACTCTATTATGCATTTTTATTTAATAAGACATATGCATATATATGTTAGATAGTATTATATATATTATATAATATATAATATATATAAATTAGTATTAGGGATGAATGGTGAATACATATTCTTCTGCATTCAATACTGTAACTTCAGGGCTTCAGTTAACAGCCTACAGCTTTCCTATTAAAGTTAAATTTCAATTGGATTTTTTTTCTCTTTCCGCAGTTTTGAAATCATAATATATCAAGCCATGGTCTATCAGTTCAACAGGCAAGTCAAATAAAAACTTTACACAATGAGAAACACAATGGCTCTAAACACACTGCCCTTTGCCCTACACCAGTGCAAGAGAATGGGTGACTTGCACTGACAGTGCCGGCTCTGTAGAGCACATGGAGAAACATGTTCCCTAAAGGGGATCTACTCCATAGTCCCTCAATCCAAAGGCAGCATGGCTGGCACTGCTGAGGTGATATTGTCGGTAGAGGCTTTTGTACGGTCTTCTCTAAAGTCAATACATTATCCAACTGGATCACAGCTCTAATAATAGCACATCACTCTTTTGAGGCCCTGAGCTGACAGGAAGCTTGCTGAAAGATCTTCTCTGAGGCTCCAGCAGGGGGTTAAAGAGGCACCCTGATTGAAATAGGAAAGCGGGGTGTGAATGTTATATTATGTTATGATAAAAGGAGTGTAATGGTTTTTAAATAGATGATTCTGAGTCTTATTACTTTCTCGGCAGAGGAGCCCGTGAGAAGGTGAATAGATGTGGCCTCCAGCTACACATCTCCTAGATTGAGCTGTCCATCTCGGCTGAAACGAATCTAACTTAACACCTTGCAGTGGCTGCTGCCTTGGGGCAGACCAGACTCCACGTCTTCCACCTGAATCGGTCTCATTAAAAACCAGCACCACTGCAGCAGGCGGACACAGCACTTGGACAACACCTCTGAACTGCGAGAAATAATGTACATGCACACACAGTCTTTATTATGAATGATTAATATGAGCCATGAGTGGTAACGCCATCAGCTATTGAATCATACTGTACCTATCAACAGTTCCTCCTGCATTTACTAACAGATTTGCTCTGATAGAAAAGATAAGCAGTGCTGATAATCTGAAGTACTAAAACGTGTAAAGAACTGTCTTTACAGTCATACATTAGTATATGGGAATCCAAAATACTGATCCACACTGGGTCATTTCACCTTCAGTACATATCTTTGGAATAAGTCTTTTAATGAAAGCAGGGTGGTAATTTACAGTATATATATAACACACAAGTCTTAAAATGCTATATTCAACTTTCTTTAATGAGAGATTGGCATCCCTTGATAAAAATGAATTGGTTCTGCTTTGCCAGCTCTAATGGAACACACTCTCCAGCAATAATTATTTTTGTAATCGCAGGCTGAAGTTTTACACTTGTGTCCATGTTAAATAACAGGCTCTGAAAGAAATCACTTGGCAAAATCCAACAATCAAGGAATCTTAAGGAAGTGTTTTTCCTCACTGAGATGGATATATGTGAAATTGAAAACAAATGTTCATTCTGATGAATTATTTTACAAATGCTAATAACACTGTACATTTAGCTTAATCCATAACTTTGACAGATTATAGTTACAGGTATATCAATAATTTCAAGCCTATATTTTCACCCATAGTTCATTTTCAGAGCTGCTTGTTTTTTTAATACCAGAGGCAATGAGATGACATATTCTTGTTTCATATTCCTTGGGGAACCCTGTGATAGCTATCAGTGCTTGGTTGTTTTGGCTATCTCTGATAAGAATGTGAGCCCTAAGGGCTTTGCAGAAAACAACGGGCATTAGGGTTCTGTCACAGGCTGTGTTCCCCTGGCAGGGCTAAAATGAGTGAATCTTTGCATTCTACATTTGATATGACACAAGGCAAACTTTCAACATAAGAACGCAAGACAGGTTACAAAGCCCAGAGGTCTTCAACCCATATGATTGGCTCATTTGATTGCTAATTGCTGATGGATCCATCCAGCCAGTCCTTAACAGCTTTGACAACACGGCTGTGTAAATTGGTCCAGACACCCAAGGTCTGGTCCATTCAGATCCGTCCCGCTTGTGCCTGTCACCTGACTGGCATTGCACCCGGCCCACACCGTTCGTCTTGCGGATGGTGAAGCCACAAGACAATCCTCCACGCAGCCATTTTGGGCTGAGCCTGGCCGGGTTACGTACTGTAGGAGGTCCAGCCATCAGGCGCTAGCTGGCCAACACCACACTTGGGCCTGGCTCCAGAGTCTGGTGTCGGTGTCCCTGATTCATTCAGGGTCCTTTTAGTTAATGGAACCATAATTGGATCATTCTTCGTCTGGCCCCTCACCTGCGACCGATTTGCCAAGGGTGACCCAACCAGAAGCACAAAACTCCCCAAAACTTACTGTAACTCCAGAGCTCCCTGGAGCTCTCAAGCCCCTCCACCATGACAAGACCACAACAACCCTTTGTACAAACAAAGAACCTCTTATATTATATTTGAATATTTTATAAAATGTGATGCAAATACCTTAAACATCACCGAAACAGGCTTGGCATTATGTACTTTTCAATGGAATCCTTCAGGTAACAATTTAGCAGTATAAAAAGAATTTACAGTTAACATGTTCATGGGTAAAATACAGTCTGCTGATGAGCACTATTAGCTGTAATTCCTAACAAAATCGCTTACAGTGAGAGAGTGTAGTTTTTGGAGAGATGCCCTGAGTGTTTTAAAGGTCTAGTCATAATATGAACTTTTACAAAGGAAACTTCTCTGTGGCACTGTGCCATACAGCCTGCGTCTTGCTGCTAATTGTAACATGTTTCTCCAGCACAGTTTGAGGCACTGAACTGAAAACCAAGAAAAAGCAATAAGCTTTTTCACATCATTTAGGGGATTCAACACTTATATACCATACAGCAAGCAACAAGCCCACATTGTGCTGCTGATTTACAGGACTACAGTTATGGTACTATACTGTAGATGAGATCACATTAACTTCAAACATTTGTCTGATCTTGGGCAAAAAAAGTTCAGTATATGCCATTTTTAATGCATATACTGTATATACTGTAGGTAACTATGATACAGGTAAGTTATTTGTTTCTTCATCACTGCTACCTAAGCTACATTGCTTTTGAAAAATACTAGACTAAGCAACTCTTTAGATCAAGCACTCCCTTAATAACGTCAGCTCACATACAACAGATATTAAAATGAGCCCAAAGTGTTCGTCCTTTAAAGCATGTGAAAAAACTAAGACTGAGTAAATGAGTCTGGTTAAGCAACTTCAATGTTCTTTAATGTGTTGAAATGAAAAATAATAGTTCAGTGTAAATACATTAAAGAAGAGTAATAAGATCGACAAGTTTCTAGGAACCCACATGTACCCCTGGTTCACAGTTCAGGATTATACCCTGAGCCATTCTTTCACTACAAAACACTGTGTCCAAGTTGTAAAACTCGAATAGGTGCAACTGGTAGTATTTATGGAAGTTCAAAAGCGTTGGGGTTCGTCTATGGAAAGGGTGATGATCTCTTGCGAAATCATTTGGTGAAATGAGGACATCCTGTACTGTACAGTAGTATCCCCATGGTCTCCCGCTCCTTCTCTTACAGTTTGGTTTCGCAGTTCGACTTACCTCCCATCCAAAAGTGGTGTCTTTCACCGTGGCATTCTGCATTCCAGTGTACGGTCCAAATCGTTCCCCAAACCCGATCTTCTTTTTGGCCCAAATCCCTAAGCCTGCCCCGGGGATGGAGGACTCTCGGAGCTCAAGGTCGTTGGGGATGGGAATGTCATCAGGAATGTAGACGGGGGCTTCGTAAGGGGAGCCCTCTTTGGGCGTGAAGTCCTCGGTGTTGGGGAGAGGAGAGGGAGGCCCCACCGGGATGGGGGACATGATGCTGTCTTCGCCCTCCTCCTCGGCGCTCTCTGCAGCGGGCAGATCCGGGTCCGTTTCGTACATGTTATCTACTGCCTCACTGTCACCTGAAACACACCCCGCCGCCCGCGGGCAAGAAATGTCAGTGCAGGGGGAAAACATCGATTTGTATTTTTAGCACGTCCGAAAATGTCCTTCGTTAGTAACAGAAGTGATAAAAGTTACGCCTGACTTGTGTCCCAATGGGGAGCTGAGTCAGCGTGGGCTGGCTGCAAAGCAAAGGTTAATTCCACACTGAAAAACAGACAGGAGGAACAATGTTTTAGCTGTTGAGCCTTCTTCAGGTGTAGAGGCTCAATAACTGAAACACTGCATTTCGCCTTTTCATTTTTCAATGTAGAATTAACCTTTACTTGATCCATGTCTGACATACTGTATACTATTCAGTCAAAATTGGAGCAATTTTCTTCAGGATCACTTTACAGATAATATGATGAAATGACCCTGTTGTCTAAAGGTATTATTGTTCATCTGTGTTTTTTTCCATTAGTCACCTGTGTTAGGTATTGGTCTAATGTATGGCTGACTACAGCAGGACTGTTTCTTAGAAATATCTTCAGCAAATGTCAGAGAATAACAACCCTAGTGACACAGGCTTCCACATACTATATGCAGGCCTTTGTCTTCTAGTTGGAGTTTTAAAGCACTATGCTATTTTTCTTCACACTGGATGGGATTCTGTGGTTTTATAGAACAACATACTGATAGTCTTTTCATGAACTGATCTTAGTTTTAAGATTTCATAACAGTTATTTTAACTATTAATAACCATATATTGATTACTGTATACTGTATGTTCAGTACAATACCTAAATCAAAGCTATAACTTTACCCCATGCAGGATCTGAACTCAGAACCTCCCAGCTACAAGTCCAGAGCCCTGTTATCCAAACTTAATGTAAGAAGTTACAATTCTTACACTAACCAAACCGAAGGCTCAGACAGCCTAAGTGATAGGAATTTATGTACTGTATAAGGCTCAAGGAGACAGCTTTAAATTGGAAATAAACCCTCAGGAAATATTAACGGCGAGTGTGAAAGTGCAAAATAAAAATAATTTGAATTTATTGCACATATTGTAAATTGAAAGCAGAGCTACATGTATTACGGTAGTAGGAGTATTTACAACCAAAGTCTAAGGGGAAAAACAAAAAAAGCACACGCCTTTCATCAAGGCGGACATTAAAACATGCATAGCCTCATACTGTACCTATCTGGCATGTTTTTTAAATAAAAAATAATACTCGCACAAGGTATCTTACTTTAGAGAAAAAACACTAAAACATCTCTTTTAAGGTTGCCTAGACAACCCTGGTGTCAGTACACAGACAGACTCAGTGTAATTTGTAGACGTACCACTGCAGTTTGCTATCCAAACACAGGACCAGCAATCAGAGTTAACTAGGCCGCAATTACTGCAGGAGTGTTTCCAATCACTCTGCCCGAGCTCGCTGCCAGCCCTGCCAAGAACATAAGTTTTTATGACTCGAAAATGTTTTCTTTTAAATTGAAGGTTATTTACTTGTAAGCAAACCTGAAAAAAAAAAATCTCTCTCTCATCCTTGTGGATGGAGCTTTGGTTCTTGTGTGAAATACTGTGTGTCTGAGTGTGAACAAAATTTCCGTTTCAGTCAATCTCTCTTCCCCTCTGGTAAAACGAGTGCAGTAAAAAAGATCATGTAGTCACAGAAGAATAAAAAATAATAATCCATTCAATTAAATTCATTTTGAAATTTAAACTATTAGAACCCAGCTCATTTTAAATACTTATTTTTGTAGACTTGGGGTATTGTTTCACATATTCTGAACCTTTTATTTATTTGTAACATTTAATATATTGGCTTTCAATAAACTTTACATGTAAAAAAATATATTGTAAGGCAGTTATACTGTAGTTATTAGCTCAAGATCATGAGAAAAGCCAAAGATATTAGTGCTGAGGCTAATTCTAAAATAGAGCTAACAAAGATTATAAATTCGAAGTAACATACAGTAGAAGAAAAAAAGTCTGTGATTTATGAACAAAAGACTGAGATGCCAAGAAATTCTACTTTTTGTTGAATCAATTTATGGCACATGGAGCTAAGATACAAGTATTGTCAATATTGGAAATTGTATTTGTGCAATACAATTAAAACTGTAGTGATCCGAAAGTTCAATATGAGACTATATTAATTAAGTGTTCAATAAAGATAGATTTTTTTTCAAACAAGCATAATTTATTTTAACACTTACACATCATAAATTAATGAATACCCACTGGAGAATAAGGGCTCCAATACTTAACACTCAAATTAGTCTCTTCCAATCTGGCATCAATGGAAAATAAGAAATCTGGAAAATCTAGCACATAAAAACTAGAATTTCAAATTAAAAGATTTTACATATTTGGCCTCATATCATGATTCTAAAAGAAAAAGTTCAACCCCTTTTTTAATGATCAAATTTTCGCTGGAATTCAGACCCGCCAAAAACACTTAACTGGGGAACATCTTAGCTCACTCCAAAGCTGGTCCTCTTTGGTAGATCAATTTTCCCCCAACCTTCCAAAAAAACTGTGCTAGGCTTTCTTGAGAAATAGGAAAGACCTCTGCATGCAGGTGAACGAATTCTCTGGCAGGCCTGCCTGCAAGCACTTTTAAGATCTCTATATGGTGCAGATATATGGAATCAAAAGTGTTTTCAAACAACAACAATAATAATAAAAGATTCTGGCATTTAATCCACTGTATACCATTTTCAACAACTAAGGACTGGATTGGAAAATCTATTAAATCATGTAAAACATTTTAGGTTGGTGCCCTAAAGCAGAAAACCCATGAGAATGTTCCAATCAAGCCCTTAAAATATTTATGGCCATACATTTCTTGAACAATACAGCATTCATGTTAAAGAAAACGGAATTCTGAGTAGGCCTGTTCTAACACAAAAATAAGGTACAGTTGGTGGAGCTTTATAGTTTGGCTTCGTTGCTCTGTGTTTTTACAAAATTCATTGAATGATGGAGCAAAAGCCCTAAAACATCATGTTCCTGCATTGCGCAGCACAGACAGGAGCTTTGGCCCTGTTCTGGTCATGAAAAGGTCTGGACAGGAAAAAAAAAAAGAAAAATGCAAACTCAGGGAAATAATTAGGAGGCCCCCAAAAAGGAACAAAAATATGACTTATAAGTGAGGAGCTGTTCTGGCTGACTGAAGAGAGATGCAGTGTGTCTGGAAGTGAGAATGATGTTAGGACTGTCTCCCAAAAGGGTAGGAAACTGACAGAAAGCTGCTTCCTTTCCAGGAAGAAAACTTGAATTTCTCTTTCTTTTTTTTTTGCAGGGGACTATTTATCCTGATTACATCAGGGGTCAATCATTAATTCACACCTTGGGGGTCCTCCTCTTCTCTGTGCAGCCTACAATGAGCCAGTTGTTCAGTCTTGTTATTGCACTGGAAACTACTGTGCAGCCAGGGCTGGGATATGAAGGATTCAGATTTATTTGATAAATTGTAAATCTGTTCCTTAAACAGCTTTACTGTTATTCCTAGCCATGCTTGGAAACAAAGAAACATTGCATCCATACAGAATGCCTTTTTCATAGGTGCTATTCTTTGCCAGTTTCCCCAAAGTTAAAGGTCAGAAGCTGTCTTAACAAAAACAATCTTTTTATTCCTCATAGTCCTTTTGAGGGTCTAACCTATTCAGCAGGTTGTAGTCAATAAATTTAATATGATTAGATATTCGGAGGGTTTTGAGTAAATGGGCAGTAGACAGAAAAAAAACACAGGTTCTCAAAAGACTTTTCGTCTGTGCTGAGAGTCTAAAGCATCACAGTTTGAACGGCTGACAAATTGATAGCAAAAGTGTGTCAAGGCAAGACTCCAATATTCTGACAAGAATAAAATTTGAATAGTGTAAAATTAGCAAGCTTACACAAAGAGCTGTTGTTTCACAGCTCCTACTGGAATGACAACTAAGTAATGTTTCGCCAGATTTATATTGCTCCATTCACCACAGAATTCGGACTTCAACATCTCTTCTTTAGTTGGAGTCTGCAACCATCGAAGAAACAAAATGGTCTAGAATAATAACTAAAAATCGTCACAACTGATTAATACCAATGAGTAGTCCACCTGAAAAAATAAGGATATCAAGGTAGCAAAAAAGCTATAAGTGATTTATCTGATGGTGAAATGCAAGTGAGAGAAATTAATTATAGGAATAATAAACATTTCTAAAGATAACATTTGAATAAAATATTGTTAGAAATGGTTTGGGTCAATGGTGTGCAAAAAATGCATGTTACTTATTTTTTCTTTACAGTTTAGTGATATTAAGAAATGAAAGTAGCTTATTTAAAAGATCTCCAATGTTTAAATTTTATTTGCCTGTGATTTTTGGTGGAAAAACACAAAAAGTCTTAATATGCAAGCTTACTAAGAAATATTAAAAAAATTCTTTGGCAGCATTACTTGCAAAAACCTATTTCAGCACTGTTTGATCAAGCCTGGGGAGCAGTAAGCCTACATAGCAATCATTGTTATCTACCGCATGTTGAATAAAGGGGAGCAAAACTATAAAAAAACATAATTACTGTAAGGTAAAAACTGAGGTGAAAGAGAAATCTGGATAATATTACAAAACTCCAAGTGTCTGTCCTTTTGTAAATTATTTTTAGGAGGGTAATCTTCCAATAAAATTGAATGGTGATTGCAAAAAGCATGTTTCTGGAAAAAAGAAAATGCAATGTTTCTCAAGTCTTTATAAGGGAATAGGTTAGTCTAGTGAGAGTGAAGGCAGAACAGATATGAAAAATGAACAAGCTGTTGTGCAAGAACTTCAAAACATTTGAACCGAATGTGGTGTTCAAACACCCAGTACTGACTAATCTAGCACTTACGCTCCTCATAATCCTCAAATATGGTCCCACTTACAGAATTATTGGTATCATTAGAGCCACAAAAATCCTACCTGTTACTCTTTAATCATGCCTTTGATGATTTTATCTTAGCAAAAGCTCTAATCCAGGCAGATTTTTTTAAACCCGCAAAAAAGAAATTGG